TTAGACGTAAGACCTATATATATATATATATATATATATTAATTTATTTCCTAAACAATATTGATTAATTGATTATATTATCTCCTAAGTTTAATTAAAGTAGAATTATTTTAAAAGAGTGAATCCATACTGGTAAGTTATATTTTGAAACATGTATATATATATATACAGTACAAAGTCCGAGATCCGGACATCCAATATCTGGAATGATCTAAAATCTGGATCTCAAAGCATCCACCAACTAATTTTTTAGGGCTTTTTTGAAGGGAAGGGGTATGCTTTACGCACGCGCATTAGATTTTTTTCCTCATCATAAAAAACATGCCAGAAATCCCGATTCTTAATCTCAGTTTGGCGCTAAATAAAATATCTCATTATTGAAGAAATAATTATTTTAGCATAAATTTGTGTGATTAGTAACTTGACTCCATAGCTGCGTATCTGCTTGGCATAATCTCAAACCGAAACATTTGTTAATTTTACACCAACTAATATTTTATATCCTTGATGCCGAAATCGCGAATCATTATTTATCGTATTTTGCTTTCATCACCGCATGTTTATCAACGGATGACAACTTGAGTGATGAATCATGCAGTGACGCCAAATAACAGAGTATTATCCGATTACAGATTTAAGTTTAATGCGCTAAAATGTTGACAAGGGAAGGTTTAGCAGAAATTTCTTTCCTTATGCTAAAAATAGATTTTGTTAATGATACTCATAGGACAAACGATTATATTTAGTGCTATTTGAATTAAGAATAACTGATTTGTTATTCACATAAAGCCAGAACCAGCGCCAGATCTTGCATGGCCGCACCAGGCGGCAGAATTTAGCAAAGTTAAACAGAAGTTTTTCATTGCGATGACAATGCCCAATCATCAATCAATTAACGGAGGGTGAAATATGTAATATGGTTCTAAATCCAGAAAATACAGCTACCGATAGTGAAGAAAGTAACAGAGAGGTTACTGAACGAGAAAAAATTTTGATTGACAAGTTATTCGGAATTCTTGACACAGCAATTACAGGACTTGAACAATGGAACTTAATAACTGAACAAAAAATTATATGTCTATAGTATTAGTCTAAAGTATTAGTAGAGAAAACATATGAAACAACTCACATTGAAAGAAATGTTTAATAACATATAAATATTAAGCTCTTTTCTTTTGTAAATTTTGATACCCTTTAAATCATAAATGCTTCATTATTTCATAAATCATGATTTCATATTTTCAATTTTATAATTTCTACGTGCCATCTTAGTAGATTTAAAATGATCTAATATCCGGAAAAATCTCAAATCTGGGATCGCCGAAGTCCCGACGAGTCAGACCTCGGACTTTGTACTGTATATATATATATATATATATATGAAATGTAATTTCTCATACATTATTTGTTTTGTGCAGCCGGGGCAACAGGAATGAGACAAATTTTGGAATATAAAAGTGGTAGGTTTATTTTAGCATCCATCTCACAAGCGTTCTCCTCGTACCTTGAGCAGAAGCCCAATTTATACATATGTGTACGTCACGAGGCTCCTCCAATCAGCGATATTAATTGAAATCACGAGGTGACGCTATCTTCTCATCAGGAGTGTTCTTAAGTACTTTATGTAATATGACAGATTTATGAGTTTGGCGATTTGGCGGGCGCCAACAGGTTAATATATTTCATACTAAAGAAAGGATTTCGCCAAAATTTAGGAACAGGGATGCAATTTAGGTAGAGAATCGCCAACACATTATTAAGCAATATTAATAGAATTTAATTCAATCAATTGATTTAAAAATATCATTACATATATATAAAATACGGAATATATATTTTCAGTTAAACTTCTACCCAATAACTTTAGTAATTCATGAAAGTTAATTTTGCGTCTAGTTAATTCAGGAAAATTAGTTTCAATTGGTTGTTTTCAGCTTTAAAAATATTTAAAAATTTGTAATTAGTTATTTTCAACTAATAATTGTATCGCCATTAGCAAAAATTATGCATTACTATCAACAACATAGGTTTAAACCAAATACTTAATTGTCTATTGAAGCTTCAAAACGTATTTCCGAACTTCACTTTTTCTTGGCTAGCGTTACCGAATTTGCCCTTGGCGACCTAAAATCGAAATGGAGCCAACAGATTTCCCGCGAAATCGATAACAGACCCTCTGCAGAAATAAACTCATAATCCCGATATCCCATACATATAGTATGTGCAAAAGAGAATAAACTCCGCATAGAAGGTGATAAAAAATTAATTGAAACAAACACAGAAATTAAGCTAAGCAAAACCGTGTAAAAACAAATTGAAATGATAAAATGAAACTTAATTTTCATGTGAATTTTCAGCGCTGACTCTCCCATTCTAGAAATTTCAATTTGTTTCAGACAAAGACCACATTTAAGGATTGCCATCCATCAATATCCAGTCTTTGTAGTCAGCTTGATGAAGCCAAAGTTTATTGAAAATGCACTTTCCAGGCACCTCGTTCCTATTGTCGTCAGAAGGGTTGTGGCCTTCCAGGTTGGGATTGCTCTAATTTTGGCAAATATTTTCAGAATTACCCCCCTTTCTTTTTTTTCTCGAGCACCTTCATCATCACTTTCGCCTCTTCATCATCACTTTCGCCAGAGCTTCCGGCTTCATGCTTTCATCACAATCTGCCTAAATTTATGGATATAACCTGTTTTGAAAGATTGGGTGAATAGCCAATCAGACACCGATACTTTCGTTCGGGTAGCTAATTGTTTTTTTTTTTTTTATCGTTTGCAACGCAAATCCGCCAACAGATTGGTTAAGAGCCGTGTAATTTTAATTCCATATTCATGAGAAATCGTAATTCACACTTAGAATGGCAATCATTAGAAATGCTAAGAAATGTCAAATGAGCAAAATTAAGGTCCGTTTATTCATTTTGGTCAAAATTAAGGAACAAAAATCATTTTTGAAAAAATTAAGGACTTTTAAGGACCGCACGTACCCTGGCACAGCCGCAACGCATATGAGACTAGGGCGCAACAAGCAATGGACAAGATGGCCAAATGGGCCAATGACCATAAGTTAATTATTGCCAACTCAAAAACCCAAGGTATGCTTATTTGCCCAGGTAAAGCGCCATCGAAGAACCCCGTGCATCAACCTTCATGGGAAAAATATTAAAATAGTCAAAAACCTGAGGTACCTTGGAGTTATAATTGACGACACATTGACTTGGATGCCACATTTAAAGGAGGTCAAGGCACGACTTCACAGGATATTTCATTCCATGCTCAGAACATCAGCACCAACATGGGGAGTTTCTTTGAGGATGCTTAAGACGTGGTACTCTGTAGTTGCTGAATGTATTGCACTGTATGGGGCCTCCATGTGGGGCATAACGATCACTACTAAAATGGAGAATCTGCTACGCTCAGCACAAAGACCATTCCTCCTGAGCATTACCCGAGGATATAAAACCTTGCCCACTAATGCTTTAAACGTGATTTCAGGACTACCGCCTCTGCATCTCTTAGCTCAGCGCAATAGTGTGAGTGCTCCGACTCAAAGAGACAATAAGTTTATGGGACAGGACTTCAACATCTCGATTAACTGCAAGTCATCAACGTGGTTCAACGCCACTACACTGATGGTTCCAAAGGAGAATGTGGCACCGGTAGCGGATACTGTGTTCTACTTGGGAACCAGATCTTAAAGACCTGGGAAAGAAAGCTTAAGCACCACAACTCAGTTTTTCAGGCTGAACTGATTGCATTAAAAGCTGCACTTGTCTATGCACCGGAAAATAACTATTCCAGTATATATTCAGACTCAGCCTCTAGCCTCCAGGCAATCCAAGGAACATGTAGTAATAATCCACTCGTCAGGGCCATACAAAAACTCTTACTAAGAACACCTAAATACCAGTGGGTACCTGCCCACACTGGAACACTGGGTAATGAAATTGCAGATGCAATAGCCAAAAGAGCAGCAACTGACCCCCCACGTTCGCACACTTGACGTGCCTCTCCCGGGTTCGTTCTTAAAAGCTGAGCTCGAGAGAGAATTACTCAAACGTTGGCAACATCTGTGGGAGACAGAAACCACAGGCAGAAGAGTTTACAGATTTTTTCCAAAAGTCTGCCGGCTTCTAAAATCTGGCTCGTCTCACTTCACTCAGTATCTAACAGGACATGGTCCTTTCATGACTTACCTGCATCGCTTCAGATGACGCGAAAACAAGCATTGCTCATGCGGGATGGTAGGAGATCCGGACCACTATCTGTTCGCGTGCAGAGAGACCGCCAAATATCATCTTAGGCAACCAGTAGCAAACCACATCCATGCATGGGCCGAAGCTACTTCAAAAAAATCACAATGCATTGAAACGCATATGCGATTGCATAGACATTGCACGCCAAATCTCAGACAGGCTGGAGTAATTCTCAGCCGCCATCCTCGTCACCATCACAGCCCCTGTATGCTCTGTACCTGTAGTGAACTAATTTTATCTTAAGTTAGCTTATTCGGCTTTTCTTATTCCCTGTATATATTTATCTCCTTGAACTGTAAACCTTGAATTATGAACCTTGAAATATGTATTTTGCTTTATTTTATATATTGTTTCCACTGTTTTGCCTTTTTTTATTATTTTATTGTTTTACTTTCTAGTATTTTACTTCTTATTACTTTTAGTATTTGTAACCACCTATCCATAACTCTGTAAATATGTAACTGAAATTGTTCTTCACACCCGCAATGCACCCTTCTTCCATCATGCACTATCGTCTTCGTCCAGCATTTGTTTGCACTGCCCCCCAGCAGTCGTCTTGAGCACAATATGTATTTATAAGTGGCTTTTTTTTTGTTCAAGTTATTTCCGTCAGCGGGGCTCTACCTGGCCGATATGCTAACTACCCAGTGGACCGGCTGCCTCATTGTCGGTAGAAAGAAAGAAAGTAGTTGCACTGTTTATAATTAGTGAAACATATAAACACAGTTAAAGTACTACTTACTGGCTCGGCAAAGGCATTATCCCATGTCACAGTAGCCCATGCATGAGGCTCTTGGTTTCCATGAACTATTACAACTACAGGCAAAGATAATGTCTGCAAAATAAAATTTCCATATAATACAAAAAAGCATTTAGTTATGATTAGAATGCATATTTTCAATATAATTTATGGAATCAAACAATTTGGAAAGTGCATAAAATGATTCTTCGAACATTTTACTTACCCATACTTGAAAAACTAATTCACCACCTCCAACTTTGAATTCCGATTTAAACAACAACGAAAATTTTTCATCCATCACAGACTGTAAGAACATGATATATCAATACTACTCTTCATACAGAAAAAAATATTTAAAAAATATTAAATAATTTTTTTAAACATTGAAAAATACTCAGATCAATTATTTACAATACAAAAAAATTATCATTTTCTTGAATATAAAATATATCAACATGAAATACATAACTGATGGTTTAAAGCAAGGGTGGGTGAAAGCTGGCTCACATGCAGAATGTGGCCCTTTTAGCAGCTTAATCTGGCCCATTTATGAAACCCTTTAAACGACACTTTCAGCTCTTCCATATCCTATTTTATATGCAAACTACCAAAGTGTCTATCTATTGTTACAGAGTATATGTGCATATATATGCATGACAGAGCAGTGGTCAACCTAAGCCGAGAATAGTAGATATAGTTGAAGGCATGTGCAAATCCAATATAAGAATATAGGTTTATCATTTTGGTAACTTGAAAATTTAAGAAATGAAATATTAATATTGTTGAGATAAAAATACTGATCAGAAAAAAGAGCTTAAGGAAAGAATATTTCACCCCTAAATTGTTATTTAAAAATGAAACAATATTTAAGTCCATTATCAAATGACAAATATGAAAAAATTTTCAAAAAGTATTTAGTTTTATTTGGATCAACGTATTTTTTATGAAAGAACCTTTTTGTTAATTAAGTACATGAAAAATAAATACTTATCACATATTAGTGATAAAATTTACATTCTATTATGGATTTGTTATGAGTGAGTTAGAACCTCATTTGGAAAAAATTACTGCAAATGAACACTGAGCATTTAAAGTATCACATTAAGTATATATTAATTAATAACATTTTCACAACTTGGTAATTGCAATGAAAATTAATGTAAAGTTACAAAATATTAAAATGTTCAATTAAATATCAGCGTATTTTTGTTGTTGTTATTGTTTCATATTCCTTGAAATTTACAATTGTATTTTATATTTTGATTAACCTGCACACAGTGCCATCATGTCCCAGTGTCTGGGGCTTATTTAAAGTAAATTTTAAGAAACTGTGTATAAAATACTTTAAATTTAAGCTTTTAAAAAAATTCTAATAGAAAGGTATTGAAATGGCATCGCATTCATCCTAAATTGAGAACCATTTGTAATTCATTATAAACTACCATACTAAAGAAAAGCGACAATCAAAACTGTTCTGACAAAAATGAAAACCAACCTTATCAACCATAACAGGACAACAATCCCAGTTTGGGAAAAGGGACAGAAGTTGTCTTCTGCTTGAATAACATTACAATGCTTGTAGTAATTTATTCGAATCTGCAAAAGACTGAAAACCCTGGACAAGAAAAAGGAGGAAGATTTTCACTCTGCCCAAAAAAAGGATTTATCGAAAACCCACTCTGTGTACACTGTAAAAATTCACATCCAGCGTAATACCGGATTTGTGAAAAATTCCACAAATCCAATATCCCAAACAAATACTGCCTCACACATAAAAACTACTAAACCTTCCACAAATATTCACTCAATAGGATTCCTAGAATTTTTTAAAGCCATAAAAGAACTTGAATCTATCTTCGGTATTCAACTTTCGAAGCTGACACACTTAATTAATAAAAACCTCAATCAAATTAGAGCAGCAGAAACAGTAATCGAAAAAATGTACATAATATTCTTAATATTTGAAGGGCTGAACAATACTAATAATAATTAACTTCATTTAACCATCTACTGATAATTATCTAATTTCTCACCTATTATTTTAAAAATATCCTTTTCTTATTATTCATTTCACTTTATTAGATTACAGCAGGCAAAATAATTTTATCCCTCCCCCTTCCCTTTCAATTGGCTGTTCCTCAAAATTAGTATGGCAATGAAAGAGCCCCCCCCCAAGCACACTGTCGATCACACCTTACCCAATTACGTTCTCCTCAGCAGCCAATAGCAATCCTGCCTCATTAGCTCCTGCCTTACGATGCTTCACCTCCCTCTCATTCAGCATCGAGACTTCATTCATACCGCCAGCATGGGACTCAGCTCTTGCTACTCTTACGAAAGTGTATTTTGGTACGGGTCTTCATCGTCATCACTAATGAACATTTCCAACCTTACGAATTTCTGCCATCATATCATTCGACTTGCCATTTTGTAGGTTATCTTAGGATTTTTCATTTCCTTTTTCCTACATTTTTATCATGCTAGCTAACATTCAAAAAATGCAAAAAGTGTTTTCTACTGGGATAGGACTATGCCCAGTTGGCCGAAGAAAACTGAACGATGGTTCACCGAAGAAGAGGACTGTTTTATCAACCTTAAGATAAAGCAAATTCTGGACCCTTTGAAGTCAAGCTCAGTGTGAATAAAAAAATTCTGAAAACAGTGTATCATAAGTACAAGGGCAGGGGAATAGAAAAATTGCAGCCACACTTATTTTACTGAAAAGCCAATATCTATAATATGATAAGTAGATGAATTATAAAAAGCTTTGATGGGTATAAGTAGGATACTTTGGCACTGATAAATCATTCGCCAGTTATTTGCAGAGATGAGTTTAATAAACATTAGTGTTTTTATTGTAGGTATTTGTTTTGTTTCCTGTAAACTTAAGTGGTTGAGTTTATTAATCAGATAATTTAATAAGTGGTGGGCACTACAGAAATAATATTACTACAGCTTCCAAAAAGAATACTTATTTCAGACACAGTATAGCTAGAAAAATTGAAAAGAAGAAAAAAAAAAAGGCCAAAAAAGTAAATAAATGTTTGCTGCATGAATAAAATTAGTAATTAGACTGATGACAAGAACACAACAATATTTTCTTCTTCAAATTATAAATAAGAAGATCAATACTATGTTAGTGGATGTTAAATTAATAAGACAGCAGAGAATAACCACAATGCCATAGCTTTCAAATTATATCCAAAACGTTATACTTCGAAAATATCTAAGAATTTTCAGAATGACAAATTGCTCTGTTTCATAATTAGTCCATAATTAACAATGCACCATTCACTGATTAAAAAAGAAAATATCTCACTCATTGTTTAGTATATAAACATTTATGTTTTTCACTAATTCATTAGTTGCATTCTCTAATTGTTATAAATGACAATAAAACCATCTGAAAACTATAGTAAACTTCAAATAAAATTTTATGTAAAACTTTTAAAAGCAAAAATTTATTTACCTCCGTACCCTTCTTCTCTGCTCTTTTAATTTTTCGCAATTGCTTAAAGAAAATACAACAATTAGAAATAATTTACATACACAAAAACAACAACTTAATTTTCCCCATACCATATTAACACTATATTTTGGAAGTAGACTGTATTAACATACTTACCATATTCCTAAAACTAACACTTAATTGCCGTGTGGCTTGATGATACTCCATTGTCCCAATGTTGTTTAAAATATCACCACTAGCTTCCCTGTAAGAGTATTCAAAACTTTAGAGTTGCTCTTCAATTATTATAATTTTGATTTTTCTTCAGAACATAAAGTATCAGGCAGATTTAGAAAAACACTGTTCCACAGATATTATTTGAAAGCAATTTTAATGTTTGAACTAAATAATCACACACATATAACAGTAAGTTAGTTATACTAAAAGCAATCTAAAATCATTTATCTATAGAATTTATTGAAATTTTAGAACTGGCAGCTGTGATTTTTACTATCCGAACACTTGGCAAAAATTGTCTATATTCATTTTCAATAATTAAAACGCTAATTTTATGTGGGAGGACAAAAGCAAAATTCATGGAGTGGTAGGAATAAGTAGGAAAATTTACAAAATTTGCATGCCGAGACAGCAATACAAAAAATAAATAATGTAAATAAGCATTACAACAACTCAATTTTTAATCATCACATTTATAAATAAATCAAATGCTGAAAACCTATTTACCAATGCTTTATTTTTTTTAATTAACATAATGATTTAAATCAATGATATTTACAGATTTTTTACATTAAACAACACATTTAAACAAAGTATCATTCACCTCAAAATTGTTTATTAGTATTGAAAGACAAAGGAGGATATATATAAGACAAAGGATTATATATAAAATAAAAGGTGAATTTTTTAAAAAATTATACTAAAATAAAATAGCAATGTAACATTTAAAAAAAAAAAAGGGCAGGTTTCTTTACATATATGTAGTTTTCAAGATAAAATTCTAACAATTAAGGTTTTAAATTAAAGAGAGATCTGTGAAATTATCATCATAAGAATTATTTTCATAGCATTTTATTTCTTTAATGTTTATAAAAATTTGAAATCTTTTGATTGACGATTTCACACATCTTTTTTGCACTCAAACAATTGCTGTATGGCTTTATTAGGAAAACAACAACAATATTACAACAGAGTGTGTTGACTTATGAGAAAATCAATAGAAAAATACATTTCATGCAGATTTCCATGTGAAAAATCATCACATTTTTTCCTCATGCAAGACGCATTAAAAAAAAAAATTAAATCCAAAATACGAACTTGTCATACCCTGGTCCAACTTTGTCATTCTTCAGCAAAGCAATGGCTTGTGCTTCACTACAAAATAAAAGATACATCAATAATCTAAAAAAAATACTAAAAAAAAACTGCAGTTTGAAAACAGATTACAATACTACACTTCAGCTTACTACAAAAATGACTTGAAAAAAGATTTCAATTCTAAAAGTTTCAGCAACTACTTCTGCACTTTTTTAATGTAAAAAGGTATTAAAAAATAATGAAATAATAAAAAAGTATAGTAACATTTCAAGATTTGTTCCTATTCATATGTATGTCACTCTAAACAAACCAATGGCATATTTTCAATAGACTGGATATTAAATTATATAAAAGCAAGTCGTGATAGCACTAAATGACATATCAAAAAATTAGCAGGGTCTTATCACTGACCAACTGCAAATCACGTTTAAAAAAAAAAAAAAAAGAAGAAGAAGAAAGAGGAGGAAGAAGAAGCTTCTAGAAGTATATCTATAGCTCAGCAAGCTTCGCTTCATATAAGATTCCACAGTTTAGTAGAACCATCAACTTTCACAAAGATTTCCCAATGAAAATGCCAACAATAGGCATAGTAGTATGGAAATGCAATGACCACAAAATGGCAAAAGGCTGCTTTCTTAGACGAATAATAATTCATGTTTCACCAAGTGGATGGATGAATACATTCCAGCATAAAACCTTGGAATGACATCACCAACACAAACTGGCAGGATGGATGGGATTCTGTTTAAACCAACACAAAAATACCTTAAATGTTAAATAAATTAATATTTGTTTTCTAATTTAATAACAACAAGAAAAAACTAGATATTAAAGAAAATGTTTCAATACTTAAAATATATCTAAAAAAGTCCAATAACAAAATTATGTACATAGAACGTACCTAATAATGGCAACTTTCACTTGAGGTGGAGTCATGTAAACACTTAATTTTGAACCAACTAAAAGTCTTACAGTCGCTGTAAATCTAGTATTTGTCTTCATGACTTGAGGTGGTTGTTTCTCAATGATAAATGTGCTAGAGAAAAAAAAGATTTTTTTAATAAATATAAGTTATTTTATTTAATTTTAAATTATTTACATTATAACATAAACTTGGAATGAGGAACAATAATTGGAAAAACTAAGAAAAAGTTATCTAATATAAGGAGAAAAACAAGGTTCAATATTCAGCATTATACAAATGGAACTTGTTCCATTATCTTTTAGAAGAAGGTATATTTTGCTTAAAGAAATACTGCATAAATATTTATGCAGCATATTTTAACATTTAAAAATGCTAACATATCTTTAAATATACAATGTAATATCAATAAAAATCATATACCAAAATTTTGGCTACAAAGTATAATTTAGGACAAGAAATACACATTTATTGACACAACATGTCTGTAAGGTATTTTATACAGGCTGGAATTTCATAGCACAGTATCTGAAATCAATGCCTTATAATCGTAATCTAGCATTTAACAGATTTTTAATTTTTTTGTTCTACATACATTAAAAATAATGTGTAACAGTTTCTTGATTCACTAAATAAAAATATGACTTTTAAATTGATAGCACAATAAAGTGAATAAACAGAGAAATTTATATTTCACAACAAAATGAAAACCTAAATGAAAAATATCCACCCATTTTTATATATGAATGGTCTGTGCGGTCCCTATATAAACTCATAGGTAATAAAAGTTAACATTATTATACATGCATACATCATAATACATACATAATCATTAGATGAGTCATTTGGGCAGGACATATGCATTGTAAGTGCAATGTTGTTTTACCAATAGTGCTGAAACAAATTTTACGTTAAACTAGAAATTGATTTCCATTAACCTTTTAACTGTCAAGCCCGAAATAACTGGTATTCCAAAATGTCACACCTGAATATTACTCAGGCTAATTTTTTTTAGTGCATCGTATTGTTATACCCGAACATATATCGTGAGAAGTTTATTTTGGCTTCAATTCAACAAATGGCAGCACTTTACTGAAGGTTTCAAAGGATAGAGGTTAAAGTTCAAAGTGTGCGGGGGGGGGGGGAATTGCGAGGCAAATATTTCATTTCTGGGATAAAAAATTGCCAATTTATGCACCCAAATCATCAAAATAATTTGACAATTAAAAGGTTAACTTTCCAGATGCTTCAGAAGGTTTTGAAGGAAGAAACAATAAGTGCAACACTTATGAAAGTGTGGTACAGAGCGTTCAAAGATAGCTGAAAGAGTTAAGGTGGTCCTCCTTTTCAAAAGCCATTTGAAAATATTCAGTATGTTAAAAACTACATCAATAAATTTTGTCAACTGTCAAAATAACAACAAGATGATCAGGGGATTTCAAAAACTATTGCATTCAAAATTTTGACACAGGATCTTGGATGGTAACATATTGCACAAATTTTATCACGCAACATTTATTATCAGAGCAAAACGAACACTGTTTTGAAGTTTCTACTGACAAACTTCACACTGTTACCACTGAACCAGACTTTTCAAAAAAAAGTCATAATCTGAGAAAAATTATTAGCTATATAGATTTGCCTACTGGATAATATTTAAAATCCCTAGCAAAGTTGCAACAAAATCAGAATCGTATTAGCTGGAAGTTTTTTCCTTTTTTTTTTTTTTTTTTTTTTTTTTTTTTTTAATTATTATTATTATTATTAACAAGTTAACTGTGTCTTTTATTGAAAAGATGTACACTGCACAAAAAAGGGGGGTCAGTTCTATAGCTCCCGTTCTACTGAACCGATTGACGAAATTCAACTTGCGTTTTTCACGCCTCGAAAGTGCAACTTAGGATATGTATTGTATATATATAGCATTGTTCTGATATAGGTATTTTGACACAAAATAGGACGTTTTCTGAAATGACATGCCAATTTTTTTCCATATTTCAATTCTGCGACTCAAATTATGCCAAACTGGCCATGTTTTGTAAAAAATCACACGAGTAGTTTTTAAAAAAATTAGCTCTCAAAATTTCAGCTTCTCAATGCTAATTGAATTTTATATATATTTTATTAATACCTCTTTTTTTTATTAACTTACTGGATTCCTTCTTCCAGAATTCGAAATGTAAGCTTTAATATATTTTATATATATATTATATATATATATAAAATATATTAAGCTTACATTTATACATACCAAATATAATTTGCACATTTTTTTATTTATTTTTTTAAATTAAATTTTTGTATTTTTAATTATTTTTATAAGTTTTTCAAAAAGTTTTTGTATAATATAAAAATGTTAACATTATCATAAAGCAGATGCATTTCTAGACAAACCTGCAAAAATATTAATTTTTTATTCAAAATTTCCTACGATACACATGAATTTACATATCAGAGCGTTTTGAAATTTGGCATATTTGTTATAAGCAATAATAATGCCAAATGTGGTTTATGCACATTGTTAAAATTTGAAAGTATGAACGATGACTTTTTTCCCGCTCGTGAACAATGATAAAAAAGAAAGGAAAATAGATTGCTATAAATTAAGAAGTTTGCCATGTGAATTATTCTTGGCGCAAACTGAAAAAAAAAATGTGGCCACATAAATTTTTGATTTCTCTGTAAATTTTGCACCAAATATTACATTGCACTTTCGAGACATGAAAAACACAATTTGAATTTCGTTAATTCTCCCAGTAGAGCAGGAAATATAAAGCTGTCAATTTTTTTTTTCTCTACCCCGTCTATCCAGAGTATAATGCAAACATGCTACTTCGGGTTATATAATTAGTAAGAAATACTAAACAACATTCTTCACTAGGTAAGTGATGGAATATGATGGAAATGGCTGCAGCTCTGATGGGTGATTGCCCAATACATTTACCGATACCTCATGTGCAAAGTTTTTTATGACATTTTAAACCCCCTCAGGGTTCATAGCCACATTTTAGTTAAAAAAATAAGCACCTATAGGCACTTTTCAAGCACATTTTAAGAAAAAAAGCACCTGTCTAATTACATTATACACAACTGCATAACCTTAAAAATTAGACTCTTAATTTAAAATATGAGAAATGCAGTATTTATTAAGAGAGAATAAGCATTACCTCAACCATGGAAAATAATTACCTTTTTTTTTAATTTTAAATAACAGTTCAATTTGCAGAACTAGTTTACAATGAGAGAAAAAAATTATGCAGAAATAAACTATATTACAAGATTTAATGATGAAATCTCAGTTCAAATAGAAGAAATAAATAATAATAAGGCATATTTATTCTATTCGCTTGGAACTTAATAATAAATACAATTTATTTTTCCACTCATATTGATATTTAACTAATTTAAATCTAAATTCTGACCATTTTCAAATTTTCATCGTATATCAGGTTTTCCTTAACAGATATTGCAAGCAAAGTAATTTAAGTAAAAAAGAGGAACATTTCTGAAATCAGAAGACAGAAATTTGCTTCATGCACTCATCCTTTAACAGTAAAAGCTTAACTGACCCGCATACTTGAAAATTGGCGATTATTCGGACAGTCGAGCGTAACTTGAAAAAGAGGAGCGGAAGGGGGATAGACTGTACCCGTTCTTTAAATTTTTCTGCTAAATAAATGCTTTTGACATTTCGATATGTGCATCATATAAAAACAAACCAACGGAACAAGAAAATATTTTGCTTTGCAAGCACAGTAAAACTCTTTTAAGTGTTCATAAACAAATCTTGGACCGAACATCAAAATTAAATCTCTGCAAAATATCCTAAACGTTATTGCGCAATACGTGCACTGTAATTTTTCCCTACATGATATTACGCAATCGGATTCAACAGCTGCCGGTATTGGGAGAATAAAGAACTAAATGAAGGAAAAGAGAGACTTACCAATCTGGGGTGTTTTTCATTCTAATTTTCAACAGACTGTATTAAATTTCCAGAATAGAATCATTCTTTGCTTGGGTTGGTAGACCGCAGAACTTTTAGTCCTATTCAATCCAGATTGGAAAGTGACAAAAAAAAAAAAAAAGTCCGTTGCTCGTTTTGCAGCGACCTGTAACAGTTTCAATATTCGAGATTTTGCGGAGAAAGGGGAGAACCTCCCAACCTTCGTACTATATAATGTATTGCCCAAAAAAATGAAATTATTTTGACTATTCGATTACTTTTCCTTTATTTAAGCCATTCCGAATATTATTCCTTAGAAAGCTAATCTGTGTTAAAACACAGCCATTTTTAGAAGTTTACTATGCTTCAGCAGTTTCTGCAACTATGTTATTATAAACATTCATACATATACTCATAAGCATAACAATCATAATAAACACGAATATGAACTAACCAAGCGGAACGAGAATGCAAATTATTAAGATCTTGATAGAAATTCAAACATTGGTAGTATTTGGGTGGGAGGAAAAGAATACCGAATGTACCGGAATTTTCTACTGCTTTCGCAATTCTTTGACCAACAGAACGATGGGCACCTGTCTGTATTTCTGGGCACACTCAAGGTTATGTTAATGCAGAGAAAGGGGAAAAAGCTATTTCTGGGAATATGATTCACCATCTGACATTCCATATTAGGAAGAAAAGTTCTTTATTTAGTTTCGGCTTTGGTACCGGGAAAAATTGCGCGTTCATTTAAAAAAAAGAACTAAAAGCAAAAAATAAGCACTAAAAACAAAAAATAAGGGCTTTAAAGAAAAAGTAAGCACCTATAAGGGACTTTATACTTTATTTTCAAATATAAGGACTTATAAGCACTTATAAGGACCGCTACGAACCCTGCCCCTGTGATATACAGGACTCCTTACAGCTTAGATTTGGTAACCTAAGTCTTTTGGCTTTTCACAAAATTAAAACAACCTCTTAAACAAAAAGGATTTTTAACTTTGAATCAAATCTAGGACAATGCTATGATGAAATGATGGTAATTCCAAAGAAGAATTTGCGAAGTTTTTTTAATAGACAATATGTTAGTAGAAGCATGCAAGATCCCAAGTCCCTACTTTGATAAGTATCTTTCTTATTATCTTCTGTAAAACATTTACTCAACTTTATATTTTGTAGCTTGATAAATGCTATACAATCCTTTGTAATATATAGCTTAATAATTTATCTTCACAAGCATTTACTTTTATAAAACAAAGTAACTGGCTTATAGTGGCCAATATTGCCAAATTTTATTTCGTTTAAATTCTTTCAATAAGAATTGAGTGAGATATATTCATATTGCATCATACATGACCTACTTGTTTGTAACTGGACCTGCTATTCTAAATCTAATGTTTATTTTCATGCTTGTTGCATATTTTTTAAAAATACCATTTTATTACTGAAAATAAGCACAAAAAATGCATATTCAGTTACATAATTATGATTTATTAGACTGACAAATGCTCAACTATTCCTGTCAATAAAAATTCCTCTTATTTTACATCTTTCAAATATACCAAGAAATGAAACAAGGGGAAATATTTAACTACTGGCTCTAAAGCCATATTTTATTATTTAAAGAAACATAATGTTAAAAATTGCAGGGTTTTTTTTTTTTTTTTTTTTCCTCCAAATAATATATAAGGAACTTAACTACAGTTCTTTTTAACTTCTAAAATACTAGAAAAAATAACAAGCAATTTCCTAATTAAAACTGAAAAATTTTTACCTTGTAACAAGTGAAGAAAGTAGACCAGTTATTTGTGAGTTTAAGACTGGCAGCTTTTCTAAGGTATTCGGAGGCATACTGAGTGAAATATAAGCACAAAGACTTTCAACCTGTCTGATTTGCTGTCTGTTTTGCCATATGATGTCAGCCAGAGCTTCACACCTAAAATTTAATAAATATTGGTCACAAATACAAATGGCCAAAAAAAAATCTTTACAGAAAATAAAGTACATTCAATTCAAAAAATCAATAAACTATAAAAAAAATTACATGATACAAATTAATTTCTTCAACTGAAACTGACACACAGAAATTTTGATTTTTGACACATACAAAAAAAAATTTAATGTAACACCTTTCATATTAAGAATTGATATCTTGATACTAAATAACAATGATGTTAAAAAAAATTGGAGGGAGAGTTCTAGTTTAATCAGTAGTTTTATGTAGATGGTTTTAGGCAGTGATGAATCAGCCCAGTTTGGATTCAACGTACATATTATAATGTGCTTATAGTTTGTCAGAATGGATATACAGGATATAAAGAAACTACTAGCAAAATAGATCTCTGCCACAATGCACACAGATGAGCTGGCTATTTCCCCTGGAAATAATCTAATGTTCTTCAAGTAACAAACAAGAATTAAGTCACCAAATTAATATAATTTCATGACATACGTGACATTACAGGTATTATATAAATTTCTATATAATTTAGAAGAATACTGTTTTTCATGCAGGTTTTTCTCATTGCACATTTCTGTGCTGATTTTTACATTTGAAATGGCAGTGCAAAAATGAAAATTTGATAAAATTTTATTAACTAACGAATTAGAAGAAGGGGTAAAAATTAATCTTAACAATGACTACAAGAAACTTTAGTTTTGTCAGAGGTTAAATTCTACAGATGAAAAAATAAATCATAACAATTTCGACAGCAGTTTACTATTTTATAAAGCTATTAAATGTCATTCAAATCTACATAATTAAATTTTATTGGTGGTATAGGGAATCTTATGTTAGTTAACCAGTTATTAGGATTTCAGCCTTTACTATAACTTCTCTTTTCCATATTCCTCACCAGAATGCAAATATGAATGCAATAGTTTAACATAGATATGTATATTCAATCAATAAAAACTACTTTTTTACCTTTTATCAAAAACAACATTTGACCTTTACCATTTTCTAAACTTATAACTTTTTTTTATGAACTACAAATTTTACAAACTTTTAGTTTTTTGAAATACTTCTAACAGGGTTGCCACTCATACAGGAGAATGAAATTCTCTGACTGTTCCAAGTTCTCCAGGTGTTTTTTAAGAAAATTGCAGTCTATCTGTGTAGCGAGTGTTCACTGTGACGAGAGGTAAATTAATTATGGTACCACTTGAAAACACAAAAATTTGCCAATTACACATTACTTTACAAATATATGTGACTTATAATACATAATCCCCAAAGCATCACTATTATAACTATAACAGAAGTTGTTTTCTCCATTGAAGATTGAGATTAGAATCTGCCCAATCTGGATTAAAAAATGTCTTTTTTGCAGACATTTTGCAGCTAAACAAAAAAAAAATCTATTTAATGACATTTTTGAATAAATTCAGGTATTTTAAATTTATTTAGAAGCAAACATAAGAAAAAATATGTGCATTAAATTTTGTGATGGTATGTCATCGTACTGCTAGACTTGAGTTTCAGGAGTATGACAGAGAAAATTATCTGAAATTTTAAAGTATTATTAATTAATAATAAATAAATTTAGAAGGATGAAGCCACATTAAATGATACAAATGGCATTAAAATAAAGTTAATTAAAAATTAAATTTCAAAAATCAATGATATGTTGGCTAATATAATATTCGGTCTACCGGAAAGTTATGTCTGTTTTATAACAACAATTTTCAACACATAAGCACATGTTTATTTGCCGTATATTCGTCTCTCTATACTTTATCGCTTAATCTATATATACTGAAGTAGCAAGTTAACTAAAAGTTGATTCACGTTAGTCTTAAGTGTGAAGCAATAGTATACCCATGGCCACTGATAAAGTTCATTTACACCACTGTATTTTATACGAATTTCAACAAGGAAGAAATGCTACAGAAGCATGTAGAAATTTATTGAAAGTGTTTGGTGAAGGTTTCTGATAAGGCATGCAGAAGATGGTTCGAAAAATTTGAAACGGGTGATTTCAAACTTTCTGATAAGAAACATTCTGGTTGATCAACTTTGATCGGCAACGGTGTTGTTATGACCATGTTGGAGCAAGATCTTTTTGTGACAGCATCGGAGATCGCAGAAAGACTTAATTCAGCTCAGCAAACCATTTCGAACCATATTCGGAAGATAGGATTGGTGTGGAATCAAGATGAGTACCACATGAATTAAGTCAGAAGAATTTGGATAATTGAGTCATCATATGCACATCTCTGCTTGCTCTGAACAAAATGAAGCCCTTCTTAAACCGGATGATAACTGGGAAAAGTGGATCACCCACAGAAACATCGTAAGGAAAAGGGCATATTGTGAACCCAGAAAACCTAGCCCTCCCAACTCTAAACCAAATTTGAGCCTGAATAAGGAGAATGTTGTGTATATGGTAGGGGCATTTGAGGACCAGTAGATTATGAGCTTTTAAAACCAAACAAAAAGCTCTATTCAGAGAAGTACTGTCAGCAACTAGACAATTTAAAGACAACAGTCCAAGAAAAGAGGCTGGCGATTTTCAACAGGAATGACATCGTACTGCATCATGATCATGCCAGACCACATGCTGCTTTGGGAATAAGGCTGGGAAATTCTGTCGCATACACCATATTTTCCAGACTTAGCACTCTCTGACTATCACTTGTTTTTGTCCTTACAAACTTTATGAAGAGTAAAATATTCAAAAATGAAGTAGATAACAAACAAGCACCAGCTCAATTTTTTGCATAAAAAGTTACATCATTTTTGAAAAATGAGATATACAAACTGCCCTCACATTGGCAAGAAGTCATTAATAATAATAACAATTATATTATTTTAATAAAGTTTATTGACAGTAAGAAAAATTTGTATTTTGTTTTATTCCAAAAACGAACAGAACTTTCCAGTAGACCGCATATTAAATGTTTAGGTTGATAACCGATTATTATTTTTCATTTTACTGCAAATTGACAAATAAGATCTTTATTAAAAAGAAACAAAAAGTTTAAAAGATTTTTTGTGGTAAAATCCTAATATATGGTACAGCCTTTGCACGATTTTGAAAATTGTCACCAACATCAAAGGACCCGTTTACTGCTCATCATAAATGTCTGATTTACTGCTCATCATCACGTCGCCAAATCCCATGTATATAGTTTACTCGGATTAGAGTGATTTTGTTTTATATGAGAACAGGTAGGTATTTTTTGTCATTCAACATGCACTGCACATGTGCATGCAAGTCTCTTAATTCTCGAGTTTACTGGGAACTTGCTTTGCCTTTCTAAAAGACAATCTGATTGGAACTGAAACAATTGTTCTAGCTGCCCGAATGACGCTAATGTGACAGATACATAATTCACCAGGAAAGTAATCGCTTCCAACATTGGTGCAAAAGTCACTTTTTTGGAAATCCCCATATGAAATTCCTTGACTTTTCAGATTTTGACTAAAATATTTAAATTCCCTGACTTTTTCCAGTTTTCCAGGTATCATGGCAACCTTGTTCTAATGCCATTATCCACTCAACTACAAAATGACAGTTTTAAATTTTATTTTTTCATACTTTTAAACTGTCTACCTAAGGTATTTAGCAGCTAAGTTATTGTCATTGTTCATTTTCATATACATTTATTCCTTATCAAAAACACTTTTATCTCTCTGTTCAAATATTAATATCTAGAACTTTTTACATGTACTGTTTTTACTTCTGAACCTTTCTCAAGAAATTTAAATCCAATTCTTTCTAGAAAATGTTTTGAACTGCAACTATAAATTAAATTATCATTCTAACATTATTAAAATCTTACCATTCTTGAATTTGATCCAAGTTATTCTCAAATGGAACACCATTTCCAGCTAACTGCTGTCCTCTCTTCCATCGAATTAATTCTGTGTCTAAAATTCTTTTTTGTAGATCATTCAGCTCTAGGACAGTTTTCTGATGTTGTTCAACTAATTTCTAAAAAAGTTCAAAAATGTGTGATTGAAATCTAAAAACACACTTTTTTCCCCTTAGCACATTAGTTTGTTAAAAAATTGCAGGACATATTTAAGAAATATTATGAAAAAGAGGAGACAATTTGATATTTACAGATTCTTGAATATTCAGATAGATTTTACTAGATTCTACATTTCAGGTTCAACAAAAACTTGCTTATGAGCATCAAATTACTCTTTTAAAACATTCAATGTGTATACAACATGTCCACAAAAGTCCTTACCCAAACTTTATTTTTGTAACCACTAGTCACAGAAATATTCCTGTTATAGAAATGTTTTGGCATTTTCAAGTTTAAAGAAGTCAATTTTGTAAAAATTACAAATCTAGCTTTTTACACATTTCTCTGATCCCTATACTTATATTTAGGAAAATTGTGTGCTTGTTATAAAAATATAAAATACAAAATTATGTGATTCCCATATGACAAAAATGAACAGAGGTATATAATATTAAAACTGATCACACTCAAGGTCCGTAGAAAAATTGAGCACCGAAATGTTTGTATTTATGCATAACTAAACATAAAACATCATTCAGGGAAAGGTTTCTGATGTTCAAGATTATGCAATAAGCAATTCTACACAAATTATTGTGAACAACACTATCCCCCCCCCAAAAATGGAGGTATTCACAGAATTTTATAGAATGTAACTATATATTTGTATTTATATGTAACTAAAAATAAAGTATCATACACAGAAAGGTTTCTACTGTTAAGAGATTATTATGCAATGAGCAATTCTATGCAGATTACTGTATTACTGCATTCTATACTGTATTCTATACAAATTACATTGATATATATATCTATATATATATATATATATATATATTTTTTTTTTTTTTTTTTTTTTTTTTTTTTTTTCAAAATGGCATACAGAACTTTATAGAAACTCAAAATTAATTTTGTAAAGAAACAGAACAAAAAGGAAGAAAAGCAGGAATTCATCTAAAATAAAAAATTTTGCTAGATTCACGATCTATGCTTACTTAGGTAGATGACAATAACATGCATGCAGAAAATGTTAAATAACTTCAATAATAATGTATATTCACTAAATGTGCAAAATTTTTTCTAATTTACTTCTTCAATCAAAATATGCAATAAGTAGAGTGCTTTTTTTTATGTTTATTTGCATATACATGTAAGACAAAATTGCCATTAAAACTGCCACTGAATTTTCTGATAATCGGAATTTTATTTGTTTACATCCAAAAACAAATGCAAACTACAGATACTCATAGGTTAAGCAGTCAACAATTATCATAAATATACTGTACAACTAAACTAACACATGAGTGAAAACTGTTCAACATACCACTCTTAAATGTATTAAATCTTGGACTTTCTGTCTTAAGGCTTGGTCAAATAATTCTTTCTCTTTTTGTAATTTAGCCAACACTTCTACATTATTTGACATTTGCTGTAAATGAGCTGCAAAATTAAAACAAAATTTATTAGACAATCAAGCATCATGTATACATAATTACTCAAACTTTATTACTGGATTTGAATTTTACGTGACAGCATCCTTTTAAACATTTAATTTTTGCACATACAACAGAGAAATCCAATTTTCTACTAAATCATCAAATCTGGCTCCGACAAGCAATACACATTAAATAGAAAATGCAGATATTAAAAAACTGTTTGCTATTTTACTAAATACATCTCCAATCTGCCCCCATTAATAAAATCCAAATGATGTTTAACTATCGTTGTTAATAATTTATATGATAACAAATTATAAAGTTATCTGCTGTTTGCCTTTCACACTTGTTTACATACAAAAAAAACCTGATGTGCATACCA